AAGGAGGAGGCGAAGACCCTGCTCTCCCTGCATGTACGGTACCTCCGGCGCTGGGGCCGGGGCGCGGGACCACCGGAGGGAGTTAGGGACGTCTCCGCGGGCCACTCGTGTCTGAGCCGTGATGGTTCACCTCTTGAAGGTTGATGTTGGGTTTGTGGGGACATGGGCTGTGCCGGCTGCCTTGGTGCCGAGATGGAGGAGGAGCACCCTCGCCTCTTCCTCCGGCCGTCCCCCCCAGCAGAGGGGCAGGTCCCAGACCTGGGGCTGCCGGCAAAGAGGGGCGTGGGTGCTCGCCAAGCTCCCCCGGCCATCGGTCAGGGGTCCTGGGCTGCCAAGTTGCACGTCTCTACCGCAAACTTGCCTTTTCCCTTCCTTGGACTCCTCTTGGAGCGTGGCCATGTGCCTCTCCAGCCAGGCCAAACCAAGAGACAGAGAGAGAGAGAGAGAGAGAGAGAGAGGAACGCTGAAAGCTGGGCCACGACCCTCCCTGCACCCTGGGGAGCTGAAACACCTCGCCAAGTATTCCCTTTCCCCATCTTGAAGGTCATTCCTCGGGCTGCCTTCGCTGTTGGAGCAGTTTATCCTTAAGCTGAAGGTTTTCAAACCCATCTGGACGTGGCCGTGTGCCTGCAACAGCTGGCCTAAGCACCTCTGCTGCGGGATTCAGCCGGGGGCGTGCAGTGGGAGCCCATCGGTGTTGGGTTTTGCCAGGGAAAAGGGATTTGCGCGTCATTCCCCATCGCTGTACTTTGCAGAGTGCCCCTGGCCACCTTCTGATGCTGGCCGGTGGGAGAAGGGTGCTCCTCGAGCCTCTTGGCCGCAGCCCAGGCAGGATTTCACCCCGTGTCCCTCTCCCAACCTTGGCAGGGTTCCATCGTGGTGGGGATTGACTACGACTGCCGGGAGAAGACGATCTATTGGACCGACGTGGCCGGCCGGACCATAAGCCGGGCGAGTCTGGAGCCAGGGGCTGAGCCGGAGACCGTTATCAACGCAGGTTTGCTCCCACCACCAGGGACATCTGCCCAAAGCCACATCGGCGGGTCCACGCCGGTTTGTCCCCATCGCGACTCTCTGGGGGCTGTCCTGCTTCGGGGTCCTCCATCCACGCTCGCATCCCGCGGGTCGGGGCGCTGGGACAGGTCCGGGAGCAGCACGTTCCCCCAGTCGCTGACCACATCCGTCCCTCCGGCAGGGCTCATCAGCCCCGAGGGGCTAGCGGTGGACCACCTGCGGCGAGCCATGTTCTGGACCGATAGCGGCCTGGATAAGATCGAGAGAGCCCGGCTGGACGGCTCCGAGCGGCGGGTGCTCTTCGACACAGAGCTCGTCAACCCCCGGGCCATCGCGGTGGATCCCGTCCGAGGGTGAGCAGCACCGGTTCCGGGGTGGGATGGGATTTGCACACAGGGCTTTGCAAGGTGCAAGAGCTGAACCTCGTGGTGGTGCCAAGGCCCATCCCGACCCTGGGAGCGGCTCTCCTACGTCGCACGCACCGTAGGAGGGATTGGCTCTGTTCCCTACCTCCTCTTTAATAATTCAGGATTTGGCTAAACCTGCTGTTTCAGTGTCTCTATTATTTTTAAAAGCTTTGAAACGCATTTGAAAACACAAGCTGTGCCTCTAGGGCGCTGTTGCGATACAAAATGTGCTACTCCTAAGGCTCGCCCTCGCCTAGGAGCTACAGTTTGGGTCGTAAACATGTTGGACATCATTCTGGTTTTCTTTTAGAGTGGATTTTTTTTGTTGGTTTTTTTTTTTTGCAAATCAAATAAAGGTTTATTTCAAGCACTGTTAAGGGGAAAACCAGGCCCATCTCCTGACGAGAGCCAGTAACGACGAGAAAAGCTGATAATCTCCTTACTGTTGTGCATCCTGTTTGTTCATGATGTAATTATCTCCCAAGCAACCTTTACTGGACGGACTGGAATCGTGAAGCACCCAAAATCGAAACTTCCACCGTCAACGGAGCGAACAGGAGGGTCCTGGTGAATAAAGACATCGGCTTGCCCAACGGCCTCACCTTCGACCCCTTCTCCAAGCTGCTCTGTTGGGCAGACGCAGGTAACTTCACCCAGGAGGGGTCAGCCCGCGGCACGCTGAGCCTCGAGGGGCGAATCCAGCTGTCGAGGTGTTTAGCCACCCTTGGGCTTCTCTGCCCCCTTCCACTGCCCTGCCCCTGTGGCGGGGTCGAGGGGGCTCGCAGCACGAGTCGCTTCTACATCCTTAACGCTGAGAAGCTCTTTCAAAATTTCGTGAATGCAAACAACACGTTTAGAGGGTTGGGTTTGGGGTGGTTTGTTGGGGTTTTGTGTGGGTGTGGGGGGCCTGGTAACCACCCTGTGTTTGAAAAGGAACGAAGCACCTGGAGTGCACATTCCCCGACGGCACGGGCCGGCGCGTGGTACAGAACAACCTCAACTACCCCTTCAGCATCATCAGTTACGCCAATCACTTCTACCACACCGACTGGAGACGGTAAGGGAGGGAAACGCGCTCCAGTTCCTCGGGCTCCGCTTCCCCAAGTGGCCAGGAGCCAACCGCCGCCACTCCCTGCCCGGGGCCGTGCTGGCAAGCAGCTTGGAGGGGCTCTGAGCCAGAGAGGGGGGACACACACACAACAGGCGTTGTCCCCAGCCCGCTCCCGAGTCCTGGCCCCGCACCAGAGCGCTCTCTCGGGGCTCCTGCAGCGCCACGTTCGGCAACACCCGCGTGTAAATCTCAGCGCAGAACAGTTTAGCAACAAGCCCAGCTTCCCGGGAGGGACACAGGGGTTGGTTTGGGGGTTGGGTTGGTTTTTTTTTTTAAAAAATAATAAAACTTGGCACAAGTTTCTGAGTCCAGATGAAGTCAAAGAAAAGCTTCTGTCCTCAGTTTTTCCCTCTCCCCTGCCACCCAAGGCCCTCGGCCTCGGGAACTCGCCTTTATTCCCGCTCCAGCTGGAAGCTCTCAAAAAACTTCCATCAAATCTCAGCAGATTACAACCAACGCTTAAGTGCTCGTCCCGCTTGGAGGAGACCCTCGGGGAGATAATCTCTCCTTGGAAGGCTGTCTCCGTGCCTCTGCATCATCAAAGAGAAACGCACTGAATGAGCCGCACGTGGATTTTACAGGGCAGATTTCTTCCCGCTTGTTCCGCAGGTGTTCAGACCCGGTTTTAGCTGCCTCTGTTCTTCAATGCTTGTAGACAGGGGGAAAGAAACCAAGTTTCACAGAGGAGTAAAGCACTTTTCCCCCTTTCATCACCAGGGATGGCGTGATAGCGATCGATAAAGAAACGGGCTCCTTTACCGACGAGTATCTTCCAGAGCAGCGGTCACACCTCTACGGAATAACTGCGGTTTATCCCTACTGCCCCGGAGGTAAAACCCAACGAAACCCACCCCTCTCTTGCCTGTCTGATGGCTGCTACGTGCTTGACCTGCTAGAAATAATCCTCTTCTCTCTGCAGCAAGGAAATAGTAACCGCTGTTTCGAGAAACAACGATCTTTGCACCCAAAAGAACTTCAGACCCAGAAAACTGTCACTGCATACAACCGAGGGGAGAAAGCCCTTAACCAAGGCCCATGAAGCGACCCACTTCTCTGCAAAAGATTAACAAGTATTTTTTGGAAGTTATACCTCAAGTCTTTACTACTGTATTTTGGGTTTTTTCAAGTGGAAAAGACTGATATATTACAAAAGAGACTGGTCCTGTGAATCTTAGGCCGTTGCTCTAACTCTTGCTTATGCAAGCAAATTTTTTAAAAAAAAAAGTAGCTTTCTTATTCAAATGTTTTCTTTTATTGGAAGAAGAATGGATTAATTTTTAATAGTTCTGACAATCTGACCACCAGGTCCTTTTATTCCCCCCCCCAAAAGAAGCGCCTATGGGGAGCTTTGGATGCAGTATCTTGCTGGGTCTGAGTGATCTGCAGCCCTGAAGACAGAGACTCCGTGCGTGCTCCAAAAGCGAGCAGAACCGTTAGGAGATATGGCAAAGGCATTGAAGTTTTTTCCCAGAAGACAATTCTGTCTTTTCACCACTGCCTCGATGCATGTCTTTTAGTATTTATATTAGAAGAATATGCTAGAATTGATCTGTTCATGCTTGTTGGTTCTTCTAAGTGCCTTCATAGACCTACCCCACGTAGACCAATACATGTTCAGAAATACCATTTACCTTGTAATGCTTCACTTTTTCTAGGTTACTTCAGTAATTGAATAAAAACGGTTGTTTTCAAAGTTTCCCTTTGGATCTAGTTTTTAAATATTTCCTGCTGTGGCAGCGGCGAGCGAGCAAGCCAGGAGCGGGCTGGTCGCAGGGCAGGACCTCAGCGAGAGAGGAATCTGCAGAGCCTTGATGTAACACTCCCCTCCCGACACAAAGCCAAACACAATGAAAAAGCCGTATTTGCCAACTCCCCGCTAATCAGAACAATTTGTGTATTTTCCCCAACTGCATTTATTTAAAGAAAAATGATAATTCATTAGAAGTCAGAATCCAATTTCCTGTTTTCTTGCAAAAAACAGTAAAATAATACCATTTCAAACTGCATGCCGGAGTTGTACATAGCTCTAATCGTACTAAGTACACAAGGGACTAAAAGCTTTTTATCTGCTCATCTCCCGACCTTCCCCAGTCTGTGGTCCGTCTTGGGGTCAGCAATGATCGCCTGCACCGCTACAATCGCTTCGTTAATTTTCGTTTGCAGCTCCCGGAGCTCCTCTATGTGCAGCAGTCGGAGAATCTGGGCAGCTTCGTTGAGCACAGCATCTGGGGGAGCGGCAGAAAGAGAAGGCCTATCGGTCAGGGTCACCCGCCACGGAGGTCTCCCGAAAAGTTTCCCCTAAGTTAACGCTCCGCGCTTCGTTCATGCTCGTGGTTTTCAAACTTGAAGGAGGAAAAAACACCTTCCCCGGCTGCTAAGAGGGGGGACAGGGTGCTCTACAAAACCTCGCTCAGCTCCCCACAGCCAAGCTGGGTCGGTCCGAAGCGTTCCCAGTAGCCATTTGGGGCAAAAGCAAAGCCAGACCAGCAGAGCCTGCGCTCATCTGGCTATTGCTTACAAAATAACCCACCGGGCTGGCTCCCATCAGCTCGTAGGTGAACGCCAAGAGGCAGGGAAGCAGCACAGAGGTCCTCTGCTGGCAGGAGCAAGATTTGCAGGACAAGAGCAGCGGGATGCATTCCTGTGCTGGCAAACGTGGCTGCCATTAAAAGCTGTTGTTTAAAACATGACTCCGAAACAACAATATTCCCCGGCTAAGATTTATGCCGGTCTGTTCCAAAACAAAATGCTCGGGAGCGCTCGTAAATAACAAGCTGGGAGGGAGCAATTCTTTCCACTACAGGCCTTTTTACTGCACCCATCAGCTACAGATTTGACAGTAATAATGCTTTGTCAAAGGCAAACATCACCGTTTAAAAGTAACGTCAAGGGAACTGCTTACCTCCTGTGTCAAAACCAAGAATGTGCTTTTCTAAAGCAACAGGCAAACCCTTTCAAAAAGAAAAAAAAAAAGCACGTTGAGATATAATTAGGTCTGTCATTTCTCGCATGTTTGGAAAACAAAATCAAGTATTACAGCAGGTGACTCTGGAGGAGAAGACACTCGAGTGCTGCTTATCTAAGATGTGTGTGACAACTCTTGACAAGTCATCGCGCTTGGTGATGCACGAGCGCCTTTGTATCCCGAAATATCAAAGTCTTTCTGTATGAATACAGAAAAAAAAAGAAAATCTTCATGCTTAATAATCTCCCTGCTTGTCAGGCGAACCCCATTGGATACACACTGCCCACTTTCAGTCCTTAAAAGGCCAACAGCAGCCCTGCGAGAGAACACCCAGGCCAGCCACAGCGCTGCCCGGGCAAACGCCGAGCGCAAACGAGGCTTTCCTCGAAACGATCGCCTTGGAACAGCTGCCAGTTTTCAAAGCACTGGCTGACTTGAGAAGCAGTTGTAAAAATTCCCTGTAATTCTGTTTCTCAAGCGCCGAGCTTGCCGTCGACATCCCCCCCCGCCCCGAAACATTTTCAAGTGTTCAGCTTAGGAATAAAGCTGAACACTTGGAGCTGCTAAACACTTGCTCTACGAAGATAGAGCAAGGAGAAGTTTTATTAGTGGTCATTTATAAGCACTGCTCTCCTTCCTTTACCATCTCCAGCTGGGGAGGAGCAGTCACGCTAAACAATCACTCACCAGGTTCCAACATGCCCATAAAATTAGATTTAAACAATGGAAACCTTAGAATTTGCTGTTACTACCTCTAACATTCCTCAACGTTTGCCTTGCGCGACAAAATTAAGAGTTCAGTACCATTAGTTTCTACAAAGATGGGGTTGTAAACCTCAACAGTGAGGATTTCTTCTAGAGGCTTCTATATACATGTAAAAAGATCCTGACTGGACCGAAACAACACAAACTAAATACAAACCACTGACTGAAACCAACTCTCGCACCTCATTTTCAAAAAGCGGTTCTTTTCCATGGCCTTTGTAAGTAAAATGGATGTTCAACTGCAATCTGAAAAATACATCTGCAGTGTTAAAATTGAAACAGCTTGTGGTGAAGAAGGCCACTTCGAACAGATTCTGGCAGTATCAGGCTTCACACACACACTTCCAAAGAAATCAGGTTTACACCTCGGGCTGCGGAGGCCTCACTGCCACTCCAGCGGGTTCTCAGGGCACTGCAGGCTCCTCCAACGCCGACTGACCACAGCAGCACCTTCTGAGGTGGCCTTTGGAGACACCCTGGTATGACCTTCCCCACCTTCCTCCCACCACCCCATGTCTTAGCTCCTTTTCAGCTGGTGGAAGCTGTCTCCGACCAAGCAGCAGCCTGGCCCTTCCCACGGCCCACAGGAGGGGTCTCGGAGCAGGTGCTGGGCCGTACAGGCACCCACTGCTGCTACAACTACAAGCAGACACTCCTTTGCACAGCAGCTTCAAACAGGGGGAGAAACAAAGAGCACCTTTCAAGCTGTAACTACACAGATCACTTCATTTCACGGCCTCACTCTCCAAAAATTTAAAGAAACGCTGCACAAAACGCACTCGCAATGGGCCTGACCAGCGCAGCCACCCCCCCTGTAACTGGTAGTATCGACAGTAAAACCGGATCCCCTGGGAGAGAGGGAAAAAAAGTTTCCAGATTTCAGAGTAGGGGGAAAACGTACCCAGTTTGTTGTGCTTTCAACCATGCCCCAGGTACAGCCTTTGGGAGCATCCCTAGAGCGATCCTGAAGGGCATTTGTCGTACTCAATCCTGCCTCGGATACACTCACCAGGCAGGGAAAACCCAGGACAGCCTACGAGTCTGTCAGTATCAATCTGAATCCTGTCTAGACACCGAGTACCTTAACTGCCAGCCACTCAAGATACAATCTAAACGAAACAAAAATTTAACTAAGTGCCGCGTCTTATCTCGAAAACCTCACCCTGACAACCCAACCAGATAAATCTCTATTTATGTACACGTAAACCACAGGAACAGCAGCGTGAGTTTCCTCAGGACAATCCTCACACACAGCCTCCACTCGGAGAACATTTCAGCATCTATTTCACCTTTTCCCCCGCTCTATCTTGGCATTGCCAAGAACACAATACATGATATTTTGTGTATTAAGTCGCCTGCCATGCAGCAGACAAGACATTTATAACCTGTGTCCAGGGACAAGGCTCACTACACAGTGTCACTGGCTGGGATTTTGGCCATTCACAAGCCAGCCAAAAATCAGCAGCAGAGGTTTATTTTTTTCGTCTCCTCTCCTGCAACTCAGCTATCTCCTCTGCTTTCAACATTTCCTTCCTTCATCTGGTACATTATGATGTTAATGAGCACTGCTGGCGTGGATGAAGCTGTTTTCCTGCCTCCAAGCCCCTGCCTTTTCTCCACCTCACTTGGAATTTGGCATTCCTCGTGAGAATACACTCCCACTGACATCTAGCGCATTCAGGGACACTTCAACCTCAGACCCAACCACACTTTGAGAACCGATCAAATATGAAGAACTCTGTCAGGAAAAAGAAAAACACTGTTCCTCAAAGCAGCTAGTTCTGCCAAATGCACAGAAAATCCCATTTTGATCCCCGGGTGTCAGCTGCACAGCTACGTAAACAGCAATTAAACACAGCTTTTTATTAACATTAGTTATAGAAGCTGAAGCGACTGCAGTGGCCTCAGCTGCTTTTGTATTTTCCTGCTCTTTTAATGGTTTTACGGATAGACCAGACCAAAGCTTCTGGGAATGACTGCACTGCAACTCCCAGCACCTGCAATCGCCACTCAGGAAACACCACGAGTGGTGTTGTGGTCCTAAAGAAAGCGTGGGCTGGTCTGAGCAGCTCTTTGCCCAGATCCAGTGGCTTTAGCAGGGACCCCACTGAACATACACCTGCAGGGCACGGGGAGGCTGCCTTCCCCGGCTGTGCCCAACACCCACCGCCAGCAGCTGCTGCCCCCAACGCCGGAGGGACGAGCTGGAGAACTGGGATGTTTAAGAAATGACAATCTCGAAAAAAAAAAAATCAGTCATCCCCTGGAACATCTTACCAACCGCCAGCTTGTGGTTGGAAAGTCCTGCCGCAGAATCTGAGGTTTAAGTGCCAAAGTTGCCTTCACGACCTCTTTTTGGGGAAGGGGCGGGGAGGGAGGAGTTGGATGCCCAACACCCCATTCCTCAAACATGTAGGAGGTGTACGCACAAAGCAGACCGCTCCATACAAGGAACGTTTCAACCTGTTTACGCAGCCAAGGCTGCGGATTCCAAGGAAAAGCCGGGTCACACGTTTCCTCTCACACTGCGGGCCTGCTGCGCTGAGCCGTAAGGGTAATCCTCCAGCAGACAGAGAGGAGAGCAGCTATTTACATGACAGATCACACAAGCACACACATTTGGATTCAGCTGAAACAAAAAAGAGCTTTCTGTCGAACTCTCCAGAGTCCTCTGGGTCTTTTAGAATCAGCATGGTGAAGATAAAGCACATTTCCACCACCCTCCTCAATGAAGTGTTTAAACTGATCCCGTTTTGACTGACACAGCGGACATTTACACCCACACTTCTTTACTCCACGGGGAATAATCGACACCAGGCTCATGCAGCGTAGATACAAACCTCCTTGGACTGGCTGGCCTTCGCTATGGCATCCTGCGTCAAGCGCTCTTGAACCAAAATGCGGATTGCCTAGGGAAAACATGGAAAGGCGAGAGAAATTAAGTTGTCTTGGCGCATTTCTTGGCCATCAGAAGGGAAAAGGAGCCATATATACGGCTCCTTTTATAACCTAGCATAACCTCAAACACCCAGTTTTGGGAAAAACTTTTTGGAAAACTCTTTCAGACCTTAAACCTTTTCAAACAGCACTGCTCTTCGCAAGCAGAAGGCAGCTTAGCCAGAAGGGACAAGGATGTTACATGATTAATTTCAGCCACTACTGAGCCAGAAACTGCAAAGTACCAGGAACAGTCACAAAAACTTGTGATTTTTAGCCTGGAGAAGAGGAGGCGGAGGGGAGACCTTATCACTCCCTGCAACTGCCTGGAAGGAGGTTGTGGTGAGGTGGGTGGTGGTCTCTTCTCCCAAGTAAGAAGCAACAGGGCAAGGGGAAACGGCCTCAAGTTGCACCAGGGGAGGTTTAGATGGGACATTAGGAAATAATTCTTCACTGAAAAGGGTTGTCAAGCACTGGAAGAGGCTGCCCAGGGAAGCGGTGGAGTCCCCATCCCTGGAGGTGTTCAAAAAACATGTAGGTGCGGCACTTGGGACACAGTTTGGTGGTGGGCTTGGCAGTGCTGGGTTAACAGTTGGACACGGTGATTTAAAGGTCTTTTCCAACCTAAATGCCTCCATGATTCTATGACTCCCAAACGAGCTGATCACGATCCGAAAGCGGCAGCACCAATACAGCTTCTTCAGGAAGGAAATCCTGCTATGGGCATCTTTTAGTAGGTGCTGAACCATCTTCCACATGCAGAGAAACCTGGAGCAAGGCTACCCACCCAGGTTTTAAAAAGACTGAGAGCAGAAAGGGATTATTTTTAGACACAGGAACAAGAACAGCATCGATTTTAACAATCCTGCTGCTCATCTGTTTTTACTGGCTCCAGCACACACCACGAAATCATATCGGAGCTCTCAGTTACTGATACCTACAGCTGTAGATGCTTCTAAAAATAACTAGAAGGAATACCATGCAGGCAGACTTTCACCAGAAAGAACTGGGTCTGTCAAACACATTTCCTCAGACTTGCCCTGACGAGCAGCCAAATGTGACAGAAGCAGTAAGACTGCTTCATGTTTCTCCCCCAAGATTTCTCCTGGTTTTGGTCATGATTAAAGTTGAAGCGATACCAGAAAGTTGCTGCTGAATACTGCTAGAAATCTTCCTAGCTGAAGGGAGTGGCCTGGGCAAAAGAGGGATTTCGTGAGGAGTTTAACTTCAAATTCCAGCAGGGAAACCAGACCTTCTATAAAAGAATTCCGAGTGCCTTTTGCATTAGAAAAAGGAAATCCAACTGTGTTACACAGATGCTTTCTGAGCCAACTTGCCAGATTTAAAGTAATAAAATGGGACTCCAAAACTCTCTGCTCACTCTGGCCAGATGTCTGCTGCATGCTTGCACCCTTTGGCCCTGCCTAAGCACCCACTCCGGAGTGGCCAAGCCTGAATAAGGACCATAAACTCTCCACAAGCCCACAAAGCACACGGCTTACGGTGGTGCAGAACGAGGAGTTTCACTGACACGTTCTGACACCACCAAACCCTGAAAACTAGGATTGCTGTGGTTCATGTAACACGAATGGCCATTGCAGAAATCACTGTAATTAAAAAAAAAAAAACAACAAAACAGGCTGGTGGCTTTGTCCAACCACTTCTGTCTGAAAAAAGCAAGACTAGAAATGTACAGATAGTGACAGAAACATAAATACATTTATGCAGAAAACACATTCTCCTCTCTCTTTGTTAGTACCAAAAGAGATGGACCCAGATCAAGTTTGTAGCCTCCAGACAATCCTGTAAGACCTGAAGGAACTTGGTCTAATAAGGGCTGAGCTCATGCTGCAGATCCTCAACATCGCCACTCATGTCTCTCCTCCCTCTACCTGACACCCCTTTTCACTGATTTTTGGTTGTCTGGGGATTTTTTTGGTAGGGGTTTGATATACAAGACATCCACCGCTCTTTAAAGATTGATGAAGGGTTCACAGGCTATTTTGGGAAGGCAAGGCAGGACACCACACTGGAGAGAGAATGAGAAAGCAGTCGATGGGTAACTGCAGGCCATCGTTTCCTTAGGAAACGGGGCCAGCACGACAATACTGTTTAAGTCCACCTGGCACAGACTTACTACATAAACTTCAAGACCTACAGCATTTCGTTTCTCCAAAATAAGCGTAGCAAATATCACAGCTACTGTCACGAATGGACCTTACTGGTTTTTCAGTGAAATGCGTTTATTTTGGTGCCAAACAAAACTAAGCTTATTGCTACATTATGACACGATCAAGTAGGAACTCAGGATTGCTACAGTCTCAGTGAATAACAGTACTTCAAAAATACCACACAGGTTTGACCCAAAATTTACAGATAACTACAGAGTTCCACCAGGCATTCCAGGAACTCTGCAGAAATTGAACCGTTTACCACGATAATTATCCCTGCATTAATTTCCATTATTTATAATTCTGTGTTCTTATCTGCTTGAAAAGAACATACAGGATGAGTTTTACGCCTATTTGTGCCTAAAAAGCCACAGGTATCAGTAACTCTGCACCACAAGCTGTCACACACATACCAGCCACCGGGGAAAAGGAGGTCTGAAAACTGTGATGCTCACCTTCAGCATTACCAAGTAATCATCATGTCGCTGAATCTGAAGCAGGTTAGCTAAAGCCATCACTCCAGCCTTGAAATCGGGGTTATTCACTGTAAAAATCATCAGCATCATTAAAAATACACGCTAGTTTACCTGGCTCCAAAAGACAGAACCGCTTTCCTGACTCCTCGGTACTGGATTGCACTCAAGAATGGGCAAGGCCACGGACACAGCGGCGAGCAGTCACTCAGCCTGGCTACAAAGCAACCCAAGCGGGCACCAAGCTCCCCAGAACACCATCCAAGCACAAATAGCGTGGTTTCCAGTGCCAAAAGCATTCCATACGGCCCACCACGCAGGAAACCTGTGCTAAGTCTTTGAAAACAAAGCCAGCTACGTGAAGATATTCCCTTTCGCACCCCCTTTGTCACCACACAGCAGAACTGCGGCTGCTGGGTGAGGACAGGACCGGTTCCTAGCTGTCTTTTTCTACAAGGAGCAATGGGAGAACACTTGGGGGATTTAGGGCTAGTTTTCATAGCTATTTGCCACCCCTTCCATTTATTGTGAATGGGCCTAGCAGTCAAAAAAACAAATTAAAGTGTCTCAGGGCACTGCTGGGGGAAGACTGAGCCAACAGGCCATACGTGGCAGCACTGGAGTCCGCCGTCTGCCACCTCGTTTCCTTAGCTGCTGCCTTTTTTTTTTTTAAGATATGATAGAGTCTACAGACAAAATTCACCCTGCTATTTCACCCTAACCCACAGTAAGTAGCTTAAAACTCCTGTTTTAATAGAGCTCTCTGCAAAGCTGTGAAGGGAAACACACTTCAGCTGCTTCCTCGCTGCCTGGTAAGAGCCCTCCCAACTGACTCATCTGATCAAGTCTCTGGGCACCTCATTCTGTTGGGAAAGATTCTACCCTCTGCCCTTCCCCTTTTTGCCCCAAACAAGAAAAGCTCTGCATCAGCACACAGACACCTGGGATTCACATGGAGCAGTTCCTCTTCCCTTTAGTAGGAATGCAGAGACAAACAACCCAAAGGAACTTTCAGACAGGCAGTTTCAGCCACCAGTCAAAGAACAGTTGAACTCTGCATTCCTAAAGCTTTCAATAGGGATTTTTTTTCAACAGGGATTTTAAAAGTTAAATGTATCATGGCAATATGACAGCTGAAAATCTGAAGAACACCACACAGGCCACAGAACACGGGCGCAACCGATGGGTCGGCTGCTGCACACTTACCGTCCAAGTTAATCAGTGGTTCTGCATTTTTGGCTGTGTTGTCAGTATTTTTAGCACCATCAGGGGTAGAATCCTTGTACTTATCAGCTGGTAAATTAAGAAGCAAACATGAACACCATTAGAGCTAATGACAACAGGTTTAGAGCCAAGCTGTGGTTTGTTATAGCTGTAATTTTTGGGGGGTGGTAATTGCCCAAGAGCCTTCTGGGTTCATACGCTGACATTTTGGAGCTCCTTACTAAGGTCCCCAAAGGCTGCCGTTCTGCTGAGCTACTCTAACAGATCCTATCTGCAGAAAGCTTATCCAGAGCAGCATCAGAGCATGGTTCACACTTATGTAGGGCATCACTCTCTTGGTAAAGGCTCTTCCTACAGTCTTCACCCCAGAAGGCTCAACAAGCTGCACCTCACAGTTCTGTTGCTTTTAAAATCCATCAGTTCAACCAGCGTTGGCCCTCTGCCTCAGCCAGCAGCATATGCAGAGCTCAAGAGCTGAAATTGGTTCTGATCAGCAAGTAAAACATTTCCAGGAGAGGCTCTGCTTTACAGACTGTAGTGTTCATCTCCAACCCACACCGGGGTTTCTCAAGCCTTTTGAGGATGGAACCTCCTGGCTTCTCCATCCTCACATATCCCCAAGCAGCTCACTTTTTCCATCATGAGGGACTAAGACTCAGCTCTACAGGCTGCAGGTATTTATATCCCACCCCTGTCTTGGGCAGAGCTCAGCCCTGCAGGAATTCCAGGTAATGGAAACCAGTATTTTGGCTATTATTACGTTTGCTGCCAGTAATTACATCTGAATCTGCACCCTCACTATCAGGAAATGAAACTGCTGCTGCCTGTTGAGATCTAACTTCACTTTTTCATAACCTTGCCCTAGTTCCCAAGGGTTCAGGATCTACTCCCTGTGAAACAAGGGCCTAAGAATAACTTATTCTAATAAATACAGTACTAAAGAAAATGCATTTAATACACTTTAGAGTACGTTCTCATAAAGGCAATCCCACAGGGAGAAGGGCATAAATATATACAATGGGTTTTGCTAGATCCAGAAATAAAGTAAAACATGCAAGTATGCTACTGCACTGTCCCACAGGAGCCAAAGAGAAACAGTTCACATGTGAATATGGTACAAAACCAAGCAAATTAAATACTAATTTTTATTTTTTTTTTTAGAAAACAACATATACTTTCGACGTTGTCTTAACTTGATGGACGCTTTATAAAATTAACCAGAAAACCACTACCATTTTGAAATATTAAGTAAATTCGCTCATACCATTATCTCCATACTCGAGCCTAACTGCTAAGCCGAGAAGCCAGTCCACTGTTTCTTGTCGCTCTTGTATCTTGAAAGGACAGTTTACGTCTTTCATATACTACGGAGTCAAAAGAGGAGGAAACAAGTAGATGTTACTGACCTGTAGGAACCAGCTCGGAGCACAGAACTGTTTTGTAAACAATCACTTTCCCACAGACCTTACAGCCGTCAGAAAACAAGAAACATCATCACAAAATGTCCTGCTGCGGCATCTGATCCACCCGAGGCATTTCAGAGCGCCCCAACCCACCCCTCACTCGAGTCTGCCCTTAGTAATGGCACCTGCTGGTTAATGAATGTCACTCACTGTCAGGCTGCAAGCAGAGGAATACACTTTTCTTTGCTCTCTGTTTGTTTTACATGAAGTAGAAGCAAGGGAAAGGGGAAGGACAGGGAACAAACTACAGCAAAAACTTCCCACCCAAAGCAGGAAGGGGGAATGAGGCTACCTAAGGCTTTCACAGTGTACCAGAGGATTCTGAAGGCCAGCAGAAGTGATCTTCCCTTTCTTAGGGATTGCGTACAACGAGAGGGGACAAAATGGGGCTGGGGCACCACCTCTGCTCTTCTGAAGCCAGAAGCCAGGACCCAGCCCAGCTCCCCAAACCCCAGGACACAGTGACATCCTGCTGCGTCCCTTTGCTGGAGGAAGGGAAGCGCCACACAGCCTTGACTCCGGTGGCAGCAGCGTGGAGGGAAAGGACACCAGGGGCTGGAGAGCACCAGCAGGCAGGGAAGGACAGTCTGGCCAAGGTGAGAAAGACACCAGTGATCCCACAGCAGCACCAGCAGCCTGTCATTCCAACAGCCTGTCCATTGATGTATTTTCCAGTATTTTCCAATCCTCCTGAGCAAGGCAAGTGGTTCCAGGGCAAAAAACAAGCGAGGAGAACAGGTGCTGAGCATGATGGACCTGCATTTCCAGCTCCTCACAGGGCTGTTGGGAGAGAAAGGAAATGGGAACCTAGAGGGGCAGCTCAGCGGCCCTGTGGTGACTCAGGACGCTCACGAGCGCACAGGGGGTCGCTCCCAAAACGACGGCTGCTCGCCAGCGCAAAAATCATCTCTCTGGACTAACAAGAGGCGTGGAGACGAGCTGCAGTAGCTTTCTTCCACCTGCTTGCAAAGCCTGCGAGTGCATTAGCCTAATCTCTTTGCCTTTTGGTACACCAGGATCGTTAACGCAGAAAAAGCTGTTTATTTGTAGTCAATCTTCTTTCTGCTTCAAGAGCTGAATCACCAAGGAGGCAAGAAACAGGTTAGGATGGGTACCCAACCTACTGCAGAAACAGAGCTGAGTGAAAACTACCCATCTACCATCTCAACGCCTACAGTTTGGCTTCAATAACACATTTAAATGCCAAGAAACGTAGAAGTTCAGAGACAGGGCAAATATTCAGAGTCACTTGCATTCAACAACTACAGCAGCTGTTAATTGTCATTTAAAACTGTGTTTGGAACAAGGAAATACCTTTTCAAACGATTTGGGCCAGTCATCGCTGTGTATGTTTCTTAAATTCCCTCGGTCTTCAATCTTGTAATGTCTGATTTTCTGGTCTTCGAGCCAGACAATAAAATTTCTGAATTCTGTTTCGTCTGTCCAGAGAAGTAAACAAATCAAGGATGAACCAGTATCTCACAGGCCAAAACAAGCCCTTAACTTTTGATTCAGTTCATACTGGCGCCCCCAAGCGCTTTCATATCTTACCATGAAGATACATCTAAGACTAAAATCACATATTCCAGGACAACCTCTGACCAAACCTCAACACTGAGTGTTTTTCATTTTCCAAGTCACTTTGGATCGGTTATGGGTGACTGACTACACTAAAAGGCACCAACCAACAGACTGTTTTTATTGGGAATACAGTTATAACTTCCTAAGCCAAGAAGGAAAGATGAAACAATCGAGAAATCCAGTTCCTAACCCTGTTATCTGGACAAACATGTTACATGCAGCAGCAGCAACCCCCCCATCTTTCCAAAGCACAACACACACAACTCGTGACTGTGCAAAGGCATTTTCTTCCCTCACTGTTGACTCAACTTTTCTTGGTTGTTGATCCAACCTCCCATTACTTGGGAACCGGAATTTACAATACAAAGACTGTGGTCCAAAGAAAGATATTTTTACTGGATGAAGCAACTTGCCTGCACCTGCGCTTCAGTGACTGAATTCACCCCCAGACCCCAACAGATCACAGCTCTGGGGTACCACTGCCCCCTCAAGCTGCGATATTTTGGCTTTCAATGAGTTTTAATATCCTGAGTGAACGAGCTCCAGCATCTCAGAGTGGGGTAAGCACACCATTTTGCCCATCAGAGACGAGAATGCTATATTGGCTCCTCAAAAGTGTCTTCCAAGCGGTGCAAGTGCCCTACTTCCATCGAGTGTGTTGTACAGAACAGAGACACGGGCACAACACGCGCGAAGGCAAGCTTTCAGTAAGACCTTTTAAAGCTTCTACACTGACAAAATGAACCTTTAAGCAAAAGGGAAATGTTAATGATCAGGAACTTGAGATGCACAACCACAGGCAACGCCAGCAGACAGCGTCTGTTGAAAGAGAAGCGAGTCTACCAGAAGCACAGAAGGAAAAGCAACCTGTTAAACAGATGACCTGAAGCTGGATCGCATTGGATAAAGACATTTGTTACGGGGCCTTTCCAAGCAACGAAAGAGTTAAGCAAAAAGTCAAACACCGCGGTATTGATACGGATCAGCGCACCAGAAAATAGCTCCAACCACGTCCCTAGACCACCCTTATTCACCACGCCATCCCTGCCTCGCCACAGGACACACCAAGCTCCAGGGTTAAAGGTTCACACAGCAGCCGAGGGCGTTTTCTGTGGCCCTCCGGGCCTTTCCAAGCAACGAAAGAGTTAAGCAAAAAGTCAAACACCGCGGTATTGATACGGATCAGCGCACCAGAAAATAGCTCCAACCACGTCCCTAGACCACCCTTATTCACCACGCCATCCCTGCCTCGCCACAGGACACACCAAGCTCCAGGGTTAAAGGTTCACACAGCAGCCGAGGGCGTTTTCTGTGGCCCTCCCGTCCCTCGCATGACGCAGGCCAAGACTCTTCACGGGAGGA